TTTTTTTTTTTAGTAATAGTTCTCAGATTCAATTCACTTTTCTCATTCTTCGCTTGTATTTTCCCTCCTTGAATTTTATCGCTGCTCATGAACTCGTTGTTACTTACTGACGCTGTAAAGAACCCACTAGTGACTGGTTTTCAGATTAAGGAACGCTCATCGAATGGCTGTTTGTTGGAAAGAGCGGTTGAAACTATCATCAAACGTATTGAAATACTACAATCACGAGAAACATGCTCGTGAAGCTTTGAAGGGTTTATTCTGCTTTTTCATTCACTTACACACGCTGAGCGACTTGGCTCATACATTTTACTAGGTTGCTTCGGCTGTGGGGGGTAGAATTTAGGCTTCCAGAGAAGTCTCATTTCTCAAAGTTTCACCAGTATCTTTTATTTGAAGTAGGAATAAGTAGTATATAATATTAGCAGCCAATAATCTTTCATTCGTTTCCCAAAAGTGAGTGGTGGACAAAGAACCAAGTCTTTCGAGTAGTTATGGTGGTAGGCAGAAATACTCTGATCTACTTTAATTTCAACTTTTGTCTTTCTTTTACTGTGACAGTAAAAAAAACAAGCGTGATTAATTTACTTTTTTAATTTCCAAATGATTTTTTTACTTTTAAGGCTTATAAACTGAAACGCTGTAAGAATGATATTTCTGACAAAACTTGAAGTAGCTTTTCACGCTTAAAGCTTTTTTCTGTCATTTACGGGTTTTAAAGGCGCTTTTTTTCTGAAACAAAACAATTGAAAATGGCTTACGAAGCTTTGCGTTAGCGCCTTTGTCACAATATTATTATGCATTTTCTGTAAATAAATATGGTAGTTTTCGAGCACCAGGTGTTTTTATTTTTTTTTGAACAGTGCTCGTGTGTGGTTCCTTGGAAAAATACATACTTTTTTGAAAAACACCAGTTTACTGTGAACTGTCGACGTCCGCACTATTCTGTAGTATGGTACTATATAGCAAGATGGCTCATCATAAATACAACTTTTATCTTTTCTTGTTCGCCTTGGCATCTCTCCAGTATTTAAAAAATTGAGAAAGAAGTGAAACTGCCTCGCGAAAGGCGTTGCAGTGCTTTAACCGTGACTTTATCCAATCAGGGAGACCCTAAATAAACAGGTTGGATATTAAATCTGAATGACTACAGATTAAAAATCTCATTCCTTGATGCTGTATGCATCATGAAAGAAAAGAATGAGGGATACGACAATGCCAAAGAACTGGCAAGTTATTTATTAGCTAGATTAGAGGAGAGCGAGGAAATGTGAAGGGACTTAGGCAATGCGATTGCGGTTAGTATTGTGAAGTAATAAGGTGTGGAACAAGATTTCTGACAATAATATGGAAGTCAGGGGACTCAAACAGCTTTCAAGGACAAGACAAAGACTTAAATTGCTGCACGCTACCTGAACGACAGCGGGGCGGTTGAACCTAGTATCAATTAATACTATAGCAGCATGATCGTCACGATGCCTGATTACTCTGCCAACTGCCTGGTTCACAGCATGCAAACAGCTGGCTTCATACATCTGTGAACCACTGCCGCGTCCTAGAGTCTCATCCAAATACTAAATTGCAGAGCTTTTTAGTTTATATCATTTTTAAAAGGGCCTTAAAATAAGATGCTTCCAACATTGCAGTAGCCATCTGATACAAAATTCCAGAGAAGGAATAAACCTTCATCTTTGCGTCTAGTTCGATGTCATTCTTATTTGGGTATGGCAGGCCAACCATGAAAACGCAACGACCAAGCTCATCGGAAAAATTAATTCCTATAATCTTCGACCACGTTTAAGAAATAGTTAAGCAGTTCGTATTCATCTTAAACTCACTGGTTACCTTCACTGAGTTTTCCGCCTACAACCGCAAAAAGAACTGCTCCCTTGGGAGTTCGGGCTTTACGTGTAAAATTATTCCACGTTTCTGCTATGCTTAGTTTCGTTTCTAGTACAATTGGCTTTACTTCCTGAAAAAGAAAAGCGATTAACTGCACTTATGCTGAAAAACTAGTAAAATTAATTGGTTCCTCGAGGAGAAAGGTAGCGTAGTAGACCTGAAAATTTCAATGTCCAGATTCAAATAAAACTAACATTTATTTTTTCATAAATTTTCTTCGATTTTAAGTAAGTTTCGAACTGGTGCATATAATCGTAGCTCGGGAAAAAAACGACTGCTCCATTATCAACTATCCGCAATAAATTTAATAGAATCATAGCTACACCGTTTAATACGGTAATTTGTGAACGACTTCCAAAATTAAGAGTTAATTCCGACCCACTCGGTGATCTCCCTATAAATAAAGATCTCTTGCAGAAGCAAAAACATTTAAATATCCAACTTCAGGTTAGGCAGAATAAATTTTACCTAGTGAAACAACCATGATCTGAGAATCGTCAATTACGTGAGTACATGTGAATCTTAGAATGTCTTGCTTCGGGACCTAAACTAATAAACATATCAAAGAAAAGACGCAGTGGGGTACTACAATGTTTTTTAAAACGTACTTTACAAACTTTGGTTAAAGAGTGTAGAAGATAGTCAGCAGGTTCCATCGTACCGCCGATTAATACTAAGGATCGCGCTTCTGTGATGAGGTCACTTAATTCTTTAGCCGGATTCAACAGAACAAATCTGAATCTGCAAAAAGAGAAATTCTATACAACTGAAATAGACTTCCTTTTTCGCCAGACTTGAAAATGAAAAAAAAAAACACTGTGTGAGGTCCACTAAAAAACATACAAAATAAATAAACTTAAAACCTTGAGTGATGATTAGTTGTTGCCCTTTCAAAAACAATCCGCGCATCTTCACAACTCGTGGTCAGGGCTTCAATAAATTGTTTAACAGGGTACACAGGACTCGAAAGCTTTGCTAAGTCCCCTTCATTGACGTTATTGCCCTCCTTTATAAACTCTGAAAGACTGCTAGTTAACGACTGAATAAAATTCTAATTCGATGGAGG